GCCATGTTTATCCATCGTGGCGCCTTGCTCATAATGAACTGAGTACTGTATTTCTTGGCGTATGATGTTGTTTTTCGAGCTTGTATCGTCCACTCGCCCATTATTCAAAACCAAGTTCTGCGGTGCCGACGAGACTGTCGCTGTGTTTTGGAGTGGTTCAGGCCTCAATCTCATCTGCTCGATTCGAGGTTCAAATCTAGATGGGGGCAGAGCTGTGGCATCAGACGACATGGTGTCCATAGAGATTTCAGGCTCATCCGGGCGAGGTGCCTGTTTGCGTGAAGCTTTCGCTTTCCCTGAAGCAACACCACGACCCGACAGCTTGTATCCTTGAGATGGGGCATAAATCCGCATAAGCTCGCCATGACCGAAACCAGTGTTGAGCGACTCTGTGAATCGCTTGAGCGCAGCGAGCGTCGCGGCCGCTAGAGAGTACGATAGTTCCACAGCCTGCCAGATGACCACTGTGGCTGCCGTGAGAGAGACATCAGATGTAGTCGTAAGTTGATGTATCTCATTTTGGCGAAGAGCAGAGAAGATTAGGGTTCTATCGCGTGATCAGCTAATACAAAAGCACTGCTGGCGAACGGTACGTACGGTAGTCGGAGCCAAAATGACGATATGACGATGAATTTGGTTCGGAAGGCCATACGTAGACCCCACACCAACTGAATAGGCAGAAAGAGCAGGAGGACCTCGGTCATGACATCCAGGGCTGTGAGAGCAATCCATCGTTGCTCACTCTGGGCACATTCGGAGTGCGCGGAGGTGATGTCCCACGCAAGTACACGGTGGACCGAGCAGTCGACATTCAGAAGGAGGACGGATGTGAGACATTGAGCGACGATTATGGCGCTTACGCCGTACTGGAATCTTCTGTGAAATCTCGTCTGTGTCGTGCGCAATAGCATGGCAACGATGGCAATCTTAGAGACGCATAGGGATATGACCCATAGGATGTTACCAGCCGTTGCGTAGTTGTTGAGTTCCTCGATGGCGGATGAGAGAGCAGCCAGCTCAGTCATAGGGCGCCCGAGTCCAGTAGAGATGGACGCAAAAACGACACCAAAGAAACTAAGCGCCAATACCTATTCGCATGATTATCAGTAACTGCCTCTCGTCGTTTCAAAAATTTTATGAAAACACCGCGATGTACGTACCCCTGATAGTAGCACGATCAGATCATCGAGACCATAAGCTCTCCATCGAATATAACCTCGAAGGCATGCTACACATAGTGTGTAGCATAAGCAGAGACTGATGGTGAATTTCAACGTAGCTGCACGTCCTGGGCCTCGTGCGATTGCTTCCTCGTCATGATCCGCCATGATACTGCTCGTGAAAAGCACGCGAGAACTGCTCGGTAGCCTTAAGTTCCCACGACAGGGCGTTAGCACACCCGTGTGGGTCGTGGCGTCGTCTCCAGAGCTGCGGCGCGGACAACCGTCTCATCTTATCACCGTACCCTGACTCGAATTCTGCTGTTCATCCAACGGCGAAACCAGCTGGGAACTATTTTGTTCTGTGCGCAGTGAATGTATCACATCACCCCTTAAGCAGGCGCGTGGACCGTGTTGCGGCTCTCCAAGGGCCATTCGTCCGCATTTAACCCATGGCTGGGATCGGGTTCCGATAGGCATGAAATCCTCCAAACCTGTAGCGCTCTTTGGTTAGAATGTGGTGCATCCCTCCTGTTGCTGATTGCATGCGCTGAAGTGGGTGTAGATCGGAGAGGTCATTACGGGGTGCCTTGAACCTTGTCAATAATAGGCTGCCCCGTGACGTGCCAGAGCTTATCGCTTCTCAACAGCGTGCCTGACTGCAGCATTTACCGCTCGGCACTTGATCGTACATAGACTGCTGTACTTCAGCTAATCAACTCTTATAGCTAAGATCGATCAAGTTGACTACCTACAGTTGCTTTCCTCGACCTCTCGACGCTCTGACGGAGGAGAATTTGCGCACCTGCCCATGCTGGACTTCTACGACCGCCGATCTGCGACACCACCAGCCTGTAGCTAGCCTTTTTGACGATGAAAGCACGGTAGCACGCAGATGCAGGTTGTGACAGCGAACGTGTTGATTGGTGCGCGGTTCGGGGCCCCGGGAGGTGTGTGGTGCTGCGAAGCAAGCTTGGACGATAGACACCTCGGCTGTATGATTCCGGGCGAAGCGTGTTTATGGTGGCCACGGAACGGCCCTGGGAGGGTCCTTCTCCATGTTCCCTTCGATAACACATACCCTCTGCATGCTCTATCAACGAGTCGCCGGTCGGCTATTTGGCCTCGCGACACCAATAGCATGATGCACGACGGTCAAAGAGCATCAACAAATCGAACCTTTCCAGTACCTGATAAGCTTACGCTTGAGTCTCCTTATTATGAATACATGGTATGGTGTACATGAACCAACACAAGACATTGCACAGGCCCCCACGGATATCATGCATTAGTGTCCTTGCGCAATGCGCACGGCTTGAGAGCCCTGTAGTTTCAAGCCGCTCTTCCAAGGCCATCTCCTTAATTACTCATGGCTGATTCGTCAAAGCCTGTCACGATCTCAATGGCACGCCACATAAAGCGGTGATGGGCCCAAGAACGGCAGCTAGTTCCTAGCTCTAGGCACGGCTTGCAATCAACGTGTATAGTAACGGCTGTAGAGTTTGCATCTAGATCGCTTAAGCAGCGTCTGGGACGAATTCCCCACTGCACCTCCCTCTTCTTTCAGGACATCCCTTACCTCCGTTGGTGGCCGTTGTTCTGTAGTCACGTACTTTATACCATGGCAGTCGTCGGAGAATCGAAAATCGTGAATGCCGAGGAGTACGACACAGGAAGCAATGGATCCGGCGAAGCGGGTAGGATGCATGCCAGTGCTCTGGGAGGCACAGCCCACGACGCCGAGGACATGCAGCGGATGGGCAAGAAACAAGAACTCCGGGTAAACCCTTATTGCGACGTATATGCAGGAACTCTACTAAGTGTTCAATTAGAGAAATTTTCGCCTGATTTCCATCATTGGGTTCGTGGTTGTCCTACAGTCAACATGGGAAAGTGCTCTACTGTAAGTTCTTGTTCCTGTGTCGATCTATCCCCTGCTAAGTATAAGTAAAGTTCAGCTTATTTTGGGCTATTCAATGGAGGCACAGCAGGAGTCATTTGGATGATGATTATCACATGGATGTTCGTCCTAGCCATGATTGCGTCGCTTGCCGAGATGGCCTCCATGGCCCCAACTGCCGGTGGACAATACCATTGGGTCAGCGAATTCGCTCCGCCATCATTCCAAAAGTCCCTTAGTTACATCGTGGGTATGTAGTCGAATGGTCTAAACATCTAAAGTCTCATACTGACACCATGTTCAGGATGGGCTGCGGCTGTCGGCTGGGTCAGCGGAATACCCGCCTGTGCACAAATGCTTTCGAGTCTCGTCATCGGAATGGTCCTCCTCGCGTACCCTGACGCCCAGATTGGAGAACTATGGCATATCACACTGTTGATGATGCTCTGGCTGTTCCTCATGATCGGTTTCAACATCTTCTTGGCGCAGCATCTTCCCCTCGCGGAAGGTGTTGTGCTGGTCTTGCATGTCTTTGCCTTCTTCGCGTTTCTGATTCTATTCTGGACTATGGCGGAGCGTCTTCCAGCGGAAGAAGTTTTCACCACTTGGACAAATGGTGGAGAATGGAGCTCGATGGGCGTGTCTGCTCTGGTTGGCCTCTCAACCCCATTGTGGTGTTTCATTGGCCCAGACGCGGGCGCACACATGTCTGAGGAGTTAAAAGACGCCTCCGTGGTACTCCCGAAAGCTATGATGTGGGCTGTTTTCTTCAACGGCATCTTCGGATGCATTATGGTAAGCACGCATGAACTATTCTGGATGAATGGCAGGTACTGATTACGTACGCTCGTGTTAGATGATCACCTTCGTAATGTGCGGCGGTGCTCTTGATTCGGTTCTCGAATCGCCGACCGGACAGCCTGTACTTCAGGCCGTTTACAATGCGACAGGCTCTATCGCCGGCACTGAGGTCATGGGTGCTCTTCTCGTCATCCTCGTCTTCTTTGCAGCCGTATCCGTTACTGCTGCTTCTTCGCGCCAGATCTGGGCATTTGCACGCGACAGGGGACTTCCGTTCTCTGCATGGATCGAGCGAGTGCCAGCCGGCTGGGACATTCCCGTCAACGCGCTACTTGTCTGTCTTGGGTCCTCGCTCGTGCTCGCATGCATCAACTTCGGGTCGGACGTTACGTTGAACGCCATCGTCTCCATCTCGAACGCAGCTCTCATCTTCTCCTACATTATATCGATTGGATGCGTGCGCTTGAAGCGTTGGCGAGGAGAGCCATTGCTCCCTCGACGCTGGAGCCTAGGCAAGTTTGGAGGCATCGTCAACGACCTTGCTCTTGCCTTTTTGATCGTTTCCTTCATCTTCTCATTCTTCCCTATAGTTCCAAATCCTTCGGCTACGGACATGAACTGGGCGGCGCTTATGTTTGGCGCGATGGCTATCATTGCAACGGTCAACTATTTCGTCAGCGCACGGAAGAGTTACATCGCGCCTGTTTCGCTTGTTAAACAAGACTAGACGGTGGATGCATCATGTTAGCAGTCATTCAAGACCATAGGTAGACAGAAGTACCTAGGTATCCACAAGCTACCTACCACGTTCGCTCGGAGCGAATTTTGTTCTGAACCCGTCCGAGGTTATCCCTAGCCCTTCTTGGACTAGCGTTCTTGTGGTCATTCCCTCACGAACACCCCCTTTCCATCCCTAATTCCTGAACATGATTTAGAAGGCTCAATCATATCTATAGGCCTCGATAACTTTGAGATCTACGTATAGCCTTTCCCGTCTGTCTGAGATCCTTCCAAAATATTTCTTCCCTTTTTTCGTACGCGATGGTGCGGGGTATGCAAATGTGAATGGTCGTTCTATTTCCACCCGCGCAGACACTATCAGCTTTGCACCTGGCAGACTGGAAGAGCCCACGACAACGATGTCTCAACCTCTGAAAGAAACCGACATCCTGTTTCCGCACCTTTCCAACACACCAAATCTATCCAGCACCCTCTCTTCTCTGCGCCGCTCAACACTCTCAACGCACAATCGCCTTGATTCAATTATCTCCGACAGCGATTTCGTCAGTTCAGTCGCCTCTGCCTACGATCTACCCCTCGTAGCCAATGAACGTTGTGGAAGCTGGTACATTCCACCAGCCCAAAAGTCTGGATCTGTCTACTTCAAGAGCACGGACGGTCACATGGGCGAATGGAGCTTCAGTCTGAGAAGACTAAATCTGCAACTGTTGGATATTGTGGAAAAGTTTGGCGGCGCCGTGGTTGTGGACAGCACGAGGAGGGGCAAGAGTATGCCGGACGCGCTGAGCAAAACCATCCCGACATGGTGCTGTGTGATCAACAGAGCTGTATTCGGCACACCTAGGAAAGACGAGATGCGATTGTTCACGCCGCCACAAGCCGTGGGAGAAAGTGAGCATGCGCAAATAGAGAAAAGGATAGACGGATTTGTGCAACAGTTTCTGGTGCGTAGCTTGTCTGGGCATTCCCAAATATGTTCGCTGATATCGAGACAAGGATATCTGCAAACCTAACATCGTGGACCTTCGCAGTAAGCTGAAGAGGCCCCTCCGACCAATCTGGGTAACACAGCAATCATCTCTTCCGGACAGTCCGCCTTGTTTCCCCGACTTTCACCCCATCGTGCTCTGCACAGCATCGCGACGGGTACGCGGTGCCGAAGCATCGGAAAGCGGGTACATCCAGGGTGCTGCCGATGACCACGAAGCATGGTCTCATGGACTCACACCGACAGTCTTCTGGAATCACAAGGATGTGCTGATGAAGACGAGCGAGGAAGATGCGCCAGCTCTGATCGAAAAATTGCTCAACGAAGACGGAGGTAGTAGCGCGGTCGCAAGTCTGATCAAGCCAACGTCAAAACTGTATATCTCTCCTAGTGACCAGATGAAGCTCGATGGATTCGACGTTGTGATCAGTTGTACACCGGAGCCCTTCGCCACTTCGATGCTAAAGGACGCCGGAGTCAAACACTACTTGCACCTCAAATGCCAAACCGGCAAACTTGGCTCACGCGACCTCCGCACTCAACTGCCCCGAATTTTGAATTTCTTTTCGTCTCTTTCGGAACCAACCACCGGAAAGATTCTCGTGTGCTGCCCAACAGGCAAGGATCTATCCGTTGGTACCGCCTTAGCAGTACTATGTCTCTACACAAACGAGGAGGGAGCGATAGATACCAGTACGCCAAAGGAGACAAGTGCCATCGGAAAAGCCTTCATCAAGCAAAGGCTCAGTTGGATAACAACAAGCAACCCCGCGCTGAACCCAAGTAGAAGCACACTCCAAAGCGTCAATGCCATCCTGCTAGAAAGCCAAGACCCAAAAGCCTTCTTGCAAACCAAGAGTAACGGCACAGACACTGGCATCACCACCTCAATACCCATTCGAGAAACAAGACCCCTGCCCCAAGAACCACAAACAGACGACTCTTCCGAGACCGAAAAGCCAAAGCCCGGCTCTCCTTCGCTGCCTACCTCCATCTTCGAAAACCTACGCGACTCCCCGGACAAATCATGGAGCTTCACCCGTCAGCTCCGCTCCACCCTACCGACCCATCCCTCGGGCACAGTGACAGGAACAGCGACGTTCACGTCCTGCAACCTACCAGCCTCCTTTCCGCCAACTCTGCTTTACGCCGAAGAAGGCGAATTCGCAACAGACACGGGTCTCAAGTTCAACGCACGCAGAAAGTATGTGTACCAACTCAAAACGTCGAAACCAGGAAGCACAGACGAGAAAGCAGGAGAATACATCGCCGTCCGTTTCTTCGACGATGAAAAGATGCCGCGCGCAGATATCAAGGATGGCGTGGGGAAGACCGGGGAAGGGATCGGGGGGTCATTCGTCGACATGGGTGATCTGCAAACGAGTGGAAAGGAGGTGAAAGCCAAGAACAAAGAAACGCATCTTTGTGCTGAGGATTTGTACACGGCTAGTTGGACATTCGGACCGGGTGTTGTCAACGGGGACACGGAGAATATGTGGTGGGAAGTGCGATACGATGTCCAGGGCCCAAAGAAGGATTACGTGAGTACCACGAGGTACACCCTCATTTGATGGACAGAGAAGAGATGAATATAGGGTATCAAAGCCGATCTACATAACACAAACGACCACGCGCCAGACACTGCGAAACAACATGTTTGCCGCCAAGTAAGGAGTTTCCTGATTTCATGACTTTGCTCCCGTCACTTTCGTCACGAGATTCGCAATCTTGAGGAATACATTCACCACGAGTGCAAGCGCGGCGCTCGGAACGAGGATTTGTAGCCACTCGTACCACAGCTTCGGTCGGACGTCTGTCTCGATCCAGCCAGCGCCCTTGAGCGATGGCCCGCCGTTGACGTTTGGTGTCTCACCCTCGTCGGCTGGGAAACGCTGGTTTTCAAGGAAGTATTGGAGCAGGTCGTCCTTTTCGCGCCATCGGGCAAGGAGCCAGTCACTGAAGAGCTTGTCGTCGTGGAGGGGGATATCGGCGATGGCGAAGCGGCGCCAGTACATGTTTACGGACTTTGGAGGGCGTCCTTGGAAGTAGGTACTATAGAGGGTGAAGAGGTCTTGGCCGTATTGGCCGGCGCTGTTGTGTGTTAGTATCTGAAGAATCTGGGCGGTAGGCTAGACTTACGGAACACCCTCGTACGCCATTGTGCAGTCGTAGAGGTAGTCTACGGAGCCTTGCAGCTCTTGCAGACAGAAGGAAAGCCCTGTGCTTCGCGGCAGCAGTGCGTGCCTCAGGTCCTCAATCTGGTTCTTTTCTGCCCATTTCTTGCTCGAGGCGCGACCGTTCTTGCTAAGATTCGTGCCTTCGGGGAAGATGAGAAGCCACATGGGGTCGAGACCCTTGGAACCGGATAGTGGGCCGTCGTGACTTCTGCTCAGCTTCCTCAGCCTATGTTGGAAGCGCTCCTTGTCCGTGGACCACTTGCGGGATAGGAAGATGAAGCCGAAGAGCCTCATGCCCCAGCCGAGGATTGGAATGTATTTGAGCGATTCCTTGAGGATGATGTAGAGGTGGCCGTGCATGGACGCGCTGTATGCCATCCACCAGAGGTAGACCCAGTCAGTGTAGATCTAGTAGGTGTCAGCTCATTGTTCTGCAGCATGTTGCCTGGATAACCGTACCTGGTGGTTCGAGACGAATACCAGCCTTTCTGGAAAGTCGCATTCGAGCAAGCCATCCTCCTTCTTCCTCATCTGTCCTCTGATGCTCTCGTCTCCACTGACGCGCATCGTGACGGGCGCCCACCAGTACGTCATGGTGGTGACGGTCATGCTAAAGTGCTGCTTGGTCATGGCCATCCACGCGTAGAAGAGGTCCTTGCTGTAGAAGTATAGCGGCAGGCCGATGTACTGGGTGATGGCGATGCTGAGACATGACGTTAGTATCCTATGGGTAGCATTAGCCTTGAGTGTATACGAACGCTATGATGCTGCCGTTGAAGTACGCTGCAAAAAGACACATGCGCAGAAACTGCACAACAGGCCCATGTTTGACCTTGCCGGCTGGGTGTTGGGTTGGATCGGGGAGGTTTGGCGCGGAGGGTGTCTTGGTGCGCTGCGCCTTCAGCTTCTCGATGACGGGCACCGATGCGGGCGGCTTGCGCTGCCGGATGTCTGTGGTGGACATGATGCTCGTGGTGTGGGCAAGCATGGGGAGTATGCAGGCACGTCTGAGGAATACGATAGAGAGTGTGAGTGCGCGTGCACGCAGGCGGGCGTGGGCGGATGCTCAGGCGGACGAGGGAACTACGGATACGGCCCAGACATGCGGCGGGGGAGAGTGGGACAGCGCGCTGCCGTCTGCATTGGGCGTCTGGGGGTGAAAGGGCGTGCGGGCGTGGTGTGGAGGAGCAGAGGGAGTAATCAGGCCGCAGCTTTCGCGCATCGTGTCTCCGGGCGCTGGAACTTGGTGCTGCCGATCCGCAGCTTTCCCTCGAGCATGATGACAGCACGGCGGTTCACCCCACCCGTTAGCTGGCCTGGAGCGGGCGCTAGTCATATCCGGACGCGTTCACTCGCAACTTTCACCCCTTCAAATGTTCCACCGCTGCATGTGATTATGGAGTTTAGTCGCTGCGCCTGGACTATCTCCGCGCCTTAGCATTCACTCCTCTCCGTCTGGCATGCGATGCCACCAGGCGCCATCCTACCACGGTTCGACTCGTCATCACCCGCTCATATGGCGCCCACCCACCCCTCCAAGCTCTGCGCACAGCTTCGCCTAGCATTTTGGCCCTAGCCTCCTACCCTCTAAACATGTTTGTACCCCATCGCGTCTTGCCATGGCGCCTCCTGGCTCTGCCGGCCCAGGCACGGAGTTTCTCTTCGTCTCCACGCCGTCTTGAGATCAGGCAGATTTCGGAGCTTCCCTCGCGCACGACGCCGTCATACGTACAGTCGCCCTCGAATACCCTGCTGAGCCTGCAATGGCCGTCCCCACCGCGCAACATCCTCGTCACCAAGAAGAAGCGCACGCCAAACATCACCGAGTCTGTGATAGAGTTCACGTCCCACATACGCTCCACCTACCCGTCGATAAACGTCATCTTCGATCCCGAGACTGCCCAAGAGCTTCACGAGCAGCTTGCGTTTCCCGTATACACATACAAGCAGAGCCAGGGTGCGCCGCAGTACCTTTCGGATAAAACCGACTTGGTCTGCACGCTTGGAGGCGACGGCACGCTGCTGAGGGCTAGCAGCCTGTTCAGCCATGCAGAGAATGTACCTCCTGTACTGAGCTTCGCCATGGGCACCATCGGCTTCTTGGGCGAGTTCAAGTTCAGAGAATACAAGAGAGCGTTTCGGGAGGTGTACATGAGCGGCGCGCCAGACACCTACGCTACCCTCTCCGACTCGCATGGGACGATTCCACCCACACCACCCACATCGCCCGATGACCCTCTGGACAAGCCACTGAGCTACGCCGACATACGAGGCAAGGCTATGGGAAGCAACAGAACAGCGCGCATCTTGTTGCGCAACAGGCTGAAGGTGGGCGTCTTCGGGCCTGATGGAAAGAGAATCAGTGGCATCGAAGGAGAGGGCGACACATACGCGCTGAATGAGGTCACGCTTCACCGTGGCTCCAGCCCGCACCTGAAGATCATCGACGTCTACATCAACAACCGCTTCCTGACCGAGGCAGTCGCTGATGGCATGATCATCAGCTCGCCTACTGGATCCACGGCATACTCGTTGTCCTCTGGAGGAAGCATCGTACACCCCCTCGTACCGTCGATATGCCTCACGCCTATCTGCCCTCGATCGCTTTCCTTCAGACCACTGGTGCTGCCAGCTCAGACGCCAATCACACTGCGGCTAGGCAAGAAGAATCGTGGTCGCGAAGTCGAGGTCAGCATCGACGGAAATACCATCACAGAGAAACTGGGCACGGGTATGGAAGTCCGCATAGGTGGAGAAGAGGTCAAGCGGGACGCTCGTGGCTGGGAGGGTGGCGTACCCAGCATCGTGCGCGGCACAAGTGGCAAGGAAGACATGGCTGAGGACCACTGGGTCGGTGGACTGAATGCGCTCCTCAAGTTCAATTATCCGTTCGGTGATCAGGAGTCTTGAATGTGCTACAACAAACATCACATGGCTTCAGACCGCGGTGATCATATCAGCTGGTAAAGACAGCAATCATATCGGCTATACATAAATACCTACATCACCCCTTCTTCAGCGTCTCACCGAACCTTCATCACATCAACCTATCATGGCTGGACAAAGCTCGCAAGTTCCTACCCAAGCCCGCCAGTATGATACCCCGTCCGGTTTACGTGTAACAGCCGCGCAGATAGGCTTCATCGCCGATGCCGTCATCAGGCTCCAAATAGGTTTCAATATTGACGCTTCAGACCAAGATGCAGGAATCTCAAGAAATCTTCACAAAGAGTGTTGCGACTGGCTTGATGTTTTACACCGCCTTCCCAAGCTGGCGGAAGTGAAGAAAATCGAGCTCTACTGTCAGCCCGCTCTCATTACGCAGTGGATGGAGATGCGGGACAGGTTCGTGGCAGCAATTGGATTTTTTGAGCGAGGGGTCACGAAGGTGGGTGTATGGGAGATTGTACTTCTGAACTAATGTTGATGCTGCTGTAGCTTATCCCATGAAATCACATTGCATTCTCCATAACCAGTTCGCAATGAAGACTGTGAGTATCGTAGTGATACCTAGGTAGAGCAGCACGTAGGAGGTTCTGACCTAGCTGCATTCATGCTAGCTCGCGCTAGGTCGAAAGATCCCTCAAGCGCTGGCCCGGGGGGCTGGAAACCAAGCTGCGGCATCGACCTTTGAAGAAGTTCCTGCGCCCGTCTCACACGCGCATCGATGTTACGGATTGTTGCCTATTAGCGACCTTTGTTGATGGCGATGGCGGACCAAAAACCCGGCCTGAGCCGACAACAGACCGACGCGACTTTGGAGTACGATTCAAATTGACCTTTCAACGCTCGCCGCCGTGGCTGTTCTTCCACGTTCCAGCGTAATGATGCGTCACTAACTGTGGTGATAGTACAGCTTCCTCTTCAGCGCTGTATCTGTTCGTCATCGGTGCAAAAGAGCGACCGGGCATGAATAGCACATCTCCGACTAGCTTGGGCTGCAGAAGCTTCTCCACGTCACTTCCCGCCAGGTTGCGGTTCACCATGGCACCCAGACTCTTGTATACCGCATACGTCAGACGCCTTGGGCCTGTGAAGTCGACTACATCTCCCATCATCTCCATGGTAGTGTCTTCGACAGCTACGCCGTGTTCAGCGGTCTTCTTAGCCAGCTCTTCCAGGACGTCATCTATCGCCTGCATCAGATGCGGTGACCGGGGCTTTGCCATGATGGCCCATATCTCCATCTGGTGCAAGTAATTGTCCGGCCAGCCATGGTCGAACTCCCAACCCACAACCAGACTTGTGTTCGCTTTATACTCCGGTGGAATCCAGTCGTCGATGGGTATGTTCTCACAGGAGACGTCGAGATCGAACCAGATGCCACCTTGGTCCCAGAGCAGCAAGTAGCGAAGCAGATCTGCCTTCCATATAGGTACTGGAAGTGCAAGGTAGTTGTTGACGATATCTGGCCTCGATGCAAACGCGGTTCGAACATATTCGTCGCTACTTTCGTCCGTCATGAAGTGCGCTTCGTACTCTGGATTGGACGTGATGCAGCTATCGGTCCAGTTTCGGGCTTCTTCCGAGAGGCCACGAGGACCCAACTTGTACCATATAACCCTCGGTATGCCTTCATACTTAGGTGCTTGGACGGTTTCCTGGATGGGTAGGGCGATGTCGTGGTGGGCGGAGCGAATGGTGTAGATCTGGTATATGAGAAGAAGGACGCACAAGGCAAAGAGCGACTGATAGCTGACAAACTTGAACTGCAGCCTTGCTAACATACTGAATGAGCAGAATGCCGAACGAAAACTTGCTGTAATGTGTCTAAGCAGAGCGGATGTAGATGCTTCATCATCCACATCGATCTTCATGAGGCTGAATCACGACCGCTGACATTTGAGTCTTTGCAGTCTAGACACCAACGCAAATCTAGGCTTTGTCTTAGACAATCCTTGACAGTTCCGGAAATAAATGGCGCGGATGACCCAATGCCATGGACCCCACGAAAACCTTCGGTGTCAAAGAGGTAGTACAGCATATTCAGCCACGTGCGCAACAAAGAATCCGCATTCCTCAACCAAAGACGGAGGTTTTACTGGCTACCAAGATCCGTTGCTCATTTCGGGGATCCGCAGCCTTACGCCCCGCGGTGCGTATACATGCAGATACTTAAGGCCACGACAGGTCTTGGCCCCAGACGGCTGGTGAGGTTGTGTCCTGTCATCCAATGATGGAAAGGGTATGATATGTCTCAGCCCGATTGTAAACCCTCTAAGGTAATGATTCATGAGGGATGGCGATGAAGACCAGTGAACGATCAATACCAACGAAAGGTAACGATCATCGTCCGTGACACGTGGTTTGAGAGGCATATCCCAAGCTCAGCCGCATGCACGAGATAACAGTTCCAACGCTGATCAACAGGAGTTCTCGTGCGCAGACCGATGACCTCCAGCGCCACGCTTCTAGCCATGACAGACTCGTCTTGGTATGGGAAAAGCGCACCACGCCACAGACCACTCTAATCGCCCAGCACTTCCAGGCTGCCGTCGTGACTGTCATTTCGTAAGCCTCAGGCGTCACTGCACAGGCGCAATCTCAGACTCTCGTCGACTGCTCGAGGTACCGCTCCGACACTTCGCCTGCTTCAACCTTAGGTGCTTACCTCGTTCTGAGTAGCCTGTTCTTCACTCGCTTGAAGCTTACAGACGTTTTCAGACCCGAAGTTCTTTCTACCATCTTTTCATCTTCCAGCAGTAGTAAAGAGGAAGATTTAGTAAGAAGAGTATAGATTCAAAGAAGGGCAAAGCCTAGTCTATATACCTAAGGTTACATAACCTTTAATACTTCTACTTAATTTACACTTTATACTTAAGGTTAAATTAACTCTAATACTAGTGTTATTTAAATTAAACTCTTACTAAGTAAAGAAGTATTTTTCTAATACTTTAATTTACTCTTCTACTTTTAGTTTTACTCTAAAATAAGTTTTAAGGCTAAAAATAGAATCTTCTAATT